TTTGGTGTCGGCTCCTCACGGTGGTGACTCAGTTAGAGGGGGGGTGGTTGGTCACCCGAGCGTTCCTCCCCTCGACCTGTGACATCAAAAGTGGCGTAGTCGGCAGGGTACACACCGTGAGTTGTAGCGGCCACAGGTACGCGATGGCGGACGAAGAGGCACCTGCGGCTCGTCCTCAAGTCATGCCGATCTTCATGGGAGCTCCCTGGGCGCAGCGCTATGGAGGACCGGGATCGGAGTTAAGCTTACAGGATTGGAAGGCGCAGACGGAGTATCTGGCTGGACTACAGGGACTGAGTGCAGCACAGAGAGTACAGTTTGTGTTGGGGTCGCTGGAAGGAGAAGCCAAAAGGGAAGTTCTGGCTGCATCGGAAGCCACACGTGCTACCGCAAAAACTATCTTCGATTTCTTGTTCGGATTATATGGAGACTCCACCCCAGTGGCCACTCTTCGTGCCCAGTTCTTTAACTATAAACAGGGGCCTACGCAGACACTTCGGGCATACTCCTTGAAGTTGCGGGAGCAGTTTGGCTGGCTGAAGGGGCGACCGGATCATGGACTGGGTGAAGGGGATGACTTGTTACGAGATCAATTCGTCTTGGGGCTGCGTGAAGGGCCAGTACGTCAGGGCATACGACTCCAGCTTCGACGAGACCCCACTATGACCTTTGAGGCTCTGCGACAAGAGGCCTTGGCGTTAGAACTGGACCAGGGAGAGGTAACTCGCACACCAGTCTGTGTGGCAGCAAGTAGTGCCAGTGGACCTGCGCCTGTCGAACCGAGCGATTGGAAGCAGAAACTGAGGGCCGAACTGTTGGAGGATGTCAAGGGACAGATGGCGGAATTATCCCGGAACCTGCTGGGTGAGCTTCGTCGAGGACGAGTTGAAGGCGGAGCAGTGGGGCGAGAGAGGTCGTATTCAGAGGAAGGGCGAGGTCCTCTGCGCCGCCCCCTACGTCCTGTGGGCCCCCGGTTCCAGTGGGACGACCAAGGAAGGCCCATTTGTATAAATTGTGGAGATCCTGGACATATCAGTCGCCAGTGTGGGCTTCGTCGGGGTTCTCAAGGGGGTTTTTAGTCCACCGGCCACTGTGGGTCAAGTGGCCGGGACCCCTTTGTGTGACCCTCTTTCTGTTCCTGTTGCACGAGATGACTGGGTGGGACATTGCCCTACCGTGGAGGTTCAAGCTAATGGAGTCACGATAGACTGTTTGGTTGACACAGGGTCTCAAGTTACGCTATTCTCGGAGAGCCTGGCCCAGGAGTTGTTCGCAGATCATCGGCTCCAAGCAACTGAAGCTTCCAGGCTGACCCTACGGGGGGCCAATGGTTTGGACATCCCCTACACAGGGTACATCGTGGTAGACTTTCTTGTCCAAGGGGTCCCCGTCCAACAAAAAGGGGTAGTTATTGTCCGAGATCATTGCTTGGGAAATCATCGAGCACTTTTAGGGATGAACGTTATACTGGATTGCTGGGAAGAATTGTTTCGGGGGCCGCCGGCTCGGATGTCTCCGTCACCGGCAAAACAGGACTGGGACCGAATTCTGGCCGATTGTAAAAGAGTGCACGCAGCTAATCACATAGAAGAGAGGGAAGACATCGGTCGAGTTGCCTGTAGGTATGCTCTGTCCATCCCAGCTCAGAGTGAGACCGTTCTTTGGGTCCGAGTACCCGCAAGACCCCGTGGGTCAGGCACCTGTGTCCTGGTAGAGCCTCACGAAGATTGTCAGCCAGTTGAAGTGGCTCACGGACTGGCGGTTGTCCATCGGGGGCGAGTCTCAGTAAAAGTACGGAACACAAATCCTTACCCAGTGCTCCTTCGTCGACACCAACGTCTGGCCCGAGTTTCCTCGGTACGTCCTGCCCAGGTGCACGAGCACCAAGCTGTCTGCTTCAGACAGGTGAGCCCTGCGGTGGTGGAAGTTGCCGTCCGCCCTGTTGAGGTAGAACTGGGTTCGGTTGGAGGAGGGATGCCGGCCCATCTGATGGGAGAGTCCCTGAAGGGTGAGAATCTGGAAGAGGAGCAAGTGGTACAGCTTCAGGAGCTTTTGAGGAAGTGGCAACATGTGTTTTCAAAACATGAAGAGGACTATGGCTGCACAGGGGTGGTGAAGCATCAAATACCCACTGGTGAGGCGACGCCTAGTCGAGAGCGGTACCGTCCGGTGCCCCCACTCTTTATACCGAGGTCCGCACCCTGTTGAAAGGTATGCTGGAGGGAGGAATCATCCGAGAAAGCAGTAGTCCTTGGGCTGCGCCCATCGTTCTGGTGCAGAAGAAGACGGGAGCCTGGAGGTTTTGCGTCGACTATCGCAAACTTAACAGTGTAACGAAGAAAGATGCATTCCCGTTGCCACGGATTGAAGACTCACTCACCAGTCTTACCCAAGCGGCATGGTACTCGACATTGGACCTGGCAAGTGGATACTGGCAGGTGCAGGTGGATGACCGAGATAGGGAGAAGACAGCTTTCACCACCCCGTTTGGGTTATTTGAATGGGACCGTATGCCGTTCGGTCTGTGCAACGCTCCTGCGACTTTCCAACGCCTGATGCAGCGCTGCCTAGGAGGACAATTAGTCGACTCAACGCTGGTCTACCTAGACGATGTGATCGTCTTCTCCCCTGATTTCCACACTCACCTGCATCATCTGGAAGGAGTTTTCAGGGCCATGGAGAAATATGGGCTGAAGCTTAGGCCGGAAAAATGCCAGTTACTGCGGAAAGAGGTGCAGTTCTTGGGACATCGTGTCAGTGCTGTAGGGATCTCCCCTGACCCAGAGAAGGTGGCGGCGGTCCAAGGATGGGAGCCACCCCGGACAGTAAGACAGGTGCGGTCGTTCCTGGGCTTTGTGGGATATTATCGTCGCTTTATAAAGGGATTCTCTGGGCTTGCTAAGCCACTGAACCAACTCTTGGCTGGCACTGGACGTGCCCGTGGTAAAGGCTCCCCCTCAGTACACTGGGATTCCACCTGTGAGACCGCTTTCCAGAACCTTAAACAGGAACTCCTGAAGGCCCCAATCTTAGCCTATGCAGATTTCACCCAGCCGTTTCTCCTGTACACTGACGCCAGCAATGCAGGATTGGGGGCCGTGCTGGCCCAAGAGCATCAAGGAGTGGAGAGAGTGATAGCTTACGCAAGTCGAAGTTTACATCCCGCCGAACGAAACGCTGCAAACTATAGCTCCTTTAAAATCGAACTACTGGCGATGAAGTGGGCCATGACGGAGAAGTTTAAAGACTACTTGTGGGGAGCCAAGGTAACGGTGATTACAGACAACAATCCCTTAGTACACTTGCAATCCGCTAAATTGGGGGCAGTGGAGCAGCGCTGGGTGGCACAGCTAGCAAATTATGATTACCAGCTAAAATACCGTCCCGGCAGAGAGCACGTAAATGCAGATGCCCTGTCCAGACTCCCAGCCACCCAGAGAGACGATCAAGCACCCCTCGGTGCCCTTGGTACCGAAGATGAGCTGCTGGTGGCCGTGGTGGAAGCTCCCGGGGCCCCGGAGTCTGTTCCATCTAGTTGGGGGTGGGACCCCGGACGGTGGAGAGAGCTGCAGCAGAGAGATGCAGATTTGGGTCAGCTCCTGTTGTACCTCCGACAGGGAAACATGCCGAGGGCAGAGGAAAGACGGTCTCAGACGGTGGGGGTACGACAGCTTCTGAGACAGTGGAAGAGGCTGCAACTCCGAGAAGGAGTAATTTGTCGTTCAAGGCGGGATCCCCGCACACAGGAGACTGTACACCAAGTTGTTGTACCAGAGGGCCAAGTTTCGGAGCTGTTGAATGCCTATCACACCCATACTGGCCATCAGGGCCAAGAGAGGACACTGTCCCTGCTGAGGAGGTATTTCCACTGGCCTAGGATGGAAAAGAAAGTTGAGGAATTTGTTCAGAGCTGCCCACGGTGTACCTTGTTCAAACGCAGGAAGGAGGTCCGAGCCCCATTGGTCCCCCTGCGACCGAAAGCACCTCTGCATATCGTAGGGATAGATTTCCTGACTCTGGGTCGACCAACAGACCGATTCCAGAATATTCTGGTCATGACGGACCTATTTACTAAATATGCCTGGGCCGTCCCCACCGTCGATCAAACGGCAGTTACCACAGCCAACGCCCTTTGGAGAGCAGTGATACAACCTTTTGGCTGCCCAGAAACCCTACACTCGGACCAAGGTTCAAATTTCGAGTCCCGGGTCATCCAAGAGCTGAGCTGCCTCTATGGGTGCCGAAAGACCCATACGACTTCATACCACCCTCAGGGTAACGGAGGGTGCGAAAGATTCAACCAGACCTTGCTGGGGTTGCTGGGGACCCTAGAGAGTGAACAACAGGGCCAATGGGCCGAGAGTCTTCCCTCGCTGTTACAAGCATACAACAACAGTGTGCACAGTGTCACCGGTTATGCTCCTTCCTACCTTATGTTTGGGCGCCACCTCCGCTTGCCTGTGGACTTGCTCATGGGGACCGAGGCTGCAGAAAGAGGGTATAGTACCACTGACTGGGTAAATCGGCACCACCACCAACTGCTCAATGCCTACCGACGAGTCTCAGACCATCTGAGTGCAGCAGCCGCCAAGAATAAGAGACTATATGACCGGACTGCCCGAGAGGCCCCTTTGTTACCTGGGGAGCGAGTGCTAGTATGGGACAACCGGCGCCCAGGGAAAGGGAAGCTCAGTGCCCGCTGGGAGTCGACGCCATATGTGGTGGAACAACGACAAGGGCCTGATGCCCCCGTCTACTCTGTACGGCCCGAAGGGAAGCCCGGACCAATACGGGTGCTCCATCGAAACCTGCTCCGTTCCTGTCCGAATTACCAGCAACTAGCAGCTGAGGCTCCAAGTGCACCACCTGCCTTAGAGGCACCTATGATAGGGTGGGCTGTGGTCCCGAGGGACCCTGAGGTTGAAGCCAGAGCGGCTCTGCCCTCGCCACCCCGACGATCTCAACGGAACACCCGAGGACAACCACCTGAGAGGTACGGCGAATGGAATTGAGGGACGCCCGTTCCAGGGACTGGAACCGATTGGCAAGGGGGGATGTCACGGGTGACAAAATCGCTCAGTAAACGGAACCTTCTTGAGAGTCCTGAGTTTCCTAGGGGAACGTATTGGGTGCAACACTCCACTACGGTTCCGGGTGTGATGGAAACATGCCCGTACTGATTAGCGCTAATGCATGGCAGGTGTGAGAGAGAGAGGAGCGGCGCTCACACAGGCTTCCTGTTTCATAAGCCACAATATAAAAGGAGCATTTAGAGAGTGTTTGCAGCGCGGTTGGTGGGTGTACAGGTGTCAAGATTCCAAAGGGTTGACAAGAGCAGACATTAAAGTGGGTTGACTCTGGGCAGTGCTGGATACAGGCTTCCTTGGAAAAATCGTTGGAGTGTGGAGATCGCCCATTCGAGTTTGCTGGGTCAGATTGATCGTTTGTGGGAAGACTGCTGGGCCGAGCTAGGGCTGGATCTGTGCTGTGGAAGGAGAGAGGAAGGATAAGTGAATTGTTTTCATCTTATGAACATTTGAACCACTTGAAGAGGATACAGTGAATGTGGATCTGACTGTTGGAGGAGCTATGTGTTTCAGAGTGTGATGAGGAGGAATTAAAAGTGAAAACCCTGTAAACGAGCGCAACGGCCGGAGTGGGGCCTCTGTCCAACCCTATCGTGTGAGTGAATTGCAGTGCTTTTGCCTTATTGATACACATTGATTTATTGCTGTGGAATTGAAGTGAACACACGTGTGCTGTGTCTTTGTTGAGAAGTGGCCCCCATCCATGCTTACACGTTCGTGGAAGGTTATTATATCTGCCCCCGTCAGAAGCCCAGAGTGATACAGTGAACTGAAGAGAGAGTACTTTGTACTGTGAAGATCCCCACCTGTTCTACTTGCTGTTTGAGCCTAGAAGTATACAGCACCACTGGTAAAGTAACCTTATGACTCACTGTCTCCCTATTGTGAACTGAAGAGAGAGTACTGTGTACTGTGACTATCCTCACCTGTTCTACTTACTGTTTGAGCCCAGAAGTATACAGCAACGCTGATAAAGTAATCGTTTAACCCACTGTCGCCCTACTGTGAACTGAGGAGAGAATACTTTGTACTGTGAAGATCTCCACCTGTTCTACTTGCTGTTTGAGCCCAGAAGCATACGGCACCACTGGTAAAGTAACCTTATGACTCACTGTCCCCCTTTTGTGAACTGAAGAGAGAGTACTGTGTACTGTGACTATCCTCACCTGTTCTACTTACTGTTTGAGCCCAGAAGTATACAGCGACGCTGATAAAGTAATTGTTTAACCCACTGTCGCCCTACTGTGAACTGAGGAGAGAGTACTTTGTACTGTGAAGATCCACACCTGTTCTACTTACTGTTTGAGCCCAGAAGCATACAGCGCCACTGGCAAAGTAACCTTATGACTCACTGTCTCCCTATTGTGAACTGAAGAGGGAGTACTGTGTACTGTGAATATCCTCACCTGTTCTACTTACTGTTTGAGCCCAGAAGTATACAGCAACGCTGATAAAGTAATCGTTTAATCCACCGCTTCATTACCGTGCACCCACGAGAGTACCCTGTACTGTGAAGAATCCTTACCTGCCATACTTACCGTCTGAGTCTGGAAGTCTGCAGCACCGCTGGGGGAAAAGTAAGCTTTTAATCCACTGCTTTATTATCGTGCACCAACGAGAGTACTCTGTACTGTGAAGAATCCTTACCCGCCATACTTACTGCCTGAGTCTGGAAGTCTGCAGCACCGCTGGGGAAGAGTAAGCTTCTAATCCACTGCTTCATTACTGTGCACCAACAAGAGTACTTTGTACCGTGAAGAATCCTTACCTGACATACTTACTCTTGGGTCTGGAAGTCTGCAGCACCGCTGGGGAGAAGTAAGCTTCAACCCCCCTGCTCCATCATCGTACATCGACGAGAGTCTCTTGAACTGTGAGAAACCTTTGGCTTAATAAAGATTGTTACTCCTTTGAAATTTATCTCTGTCTTCGGGTCCTCTGTTGTGTGCCTGTGGTGTCGGCTCCTCACGGTGGTGACTCAGTTAGAGGGGGGGTGGTTGGTCACCCGAGCGTTCCTCCCCTCGACCTGTGACATTTTCCTCGCTGCCCAGGCCTACAAATAAAGAACACACACACAAAAGACTCACACAACACAATAAACACAACTTAAACAACACAGTCTCATCCCAAAAAGTCATATAACTGACGTCTTGGGACGTTTTTTGACCATACGTCAATATCTGCCTTTTTAGGGCCCCCTTAAACGTCGGTAGATGGCGATCCCGGGCCGTCATACAACTGACGCTTTACCTTTAACGTCAGTTAGGTGACGGGTTAGGTTTAGGTCTGGGGTAGAGTTAGGATCCCATAACCTCATCTACCGACGTTTAAGGGGGCCCTAAAAAGGCGAATATTGACGTATGGTCAAAAGACGTCCCAAAACAGTTATATGACGTCTTGGGATGACACCGGGTTGACTTAAACAATAATACAAAAAGGAAACCCTAAAAAAAATAAGAAAGAGAAAACTACACAAACACAATTGTTTGGCCCAAATGCACAGTGTTCATCTCAGAACAGTTCGATAACAAACATATTCTCTTCACATGTAGAAGGACACATTTCTATCAGGATTATAACATTATGTAAATTGTGATTTCCCAGTGTTAAAGATGTCTCCATCTTTGAGATTTACTTTAGTCACTGTTAGTTTGGTTACAGGAGATATTTAATAATAGAAAAGATGAGATTTGTCCGAGAGAATGACGTGACTTACAGACACTGATGTGAAATGAGTTGATGAAGTCTTCAGATATTCTGATGAAGTTGATTCAGACTCAGTATCTCCTCATATGAGCTTTAGTTGGAGATCTTCATCTCTCCTTCAGGAGCTTCATTCTGCTTTCTGTGGCGAGTCAGAGCCTCAAAACAACTGACATGATAAAACTAATGACAGAACAGCAAAAAAACACAACTAATACTATTAAAATATGAGACAAAATCATCATGACTCATCATGTTAGTCTGCCCGAATCAGCTTCAACATCAATATTAGAATATAATAGAATATGTTTCTTCTCTAAAAGATCTTAATTATCATCGAGACGATTCCTCCTGATCTCATTAATACTGTATGTAAATATCAGCGGAGTGAAACTCGATCACTTCTAGTGTGAAACGGCAGCGGGACGTCAAGAATAATCCTGTGTTCAGAAGATACATGAAGGACACATGGAGTCCCGTCTCAAACAATATCAAAGATGTGGGAACGGAAGGCTTTCAGTTTCATTGTTTTCCTCAATTTACTTTTAAGACTAAACTTCATTTCCATGTAGAGCTGGAGGAAGAATGTAATACAGTATATAATGTTTGAGCAGAGATTATTCTGGGTTTATTCTGACTCTGATGAACGCAGGAGCTTTAATGCACTTTGTCACTGTTGCTGCAATAACACTTCATCATTGAGATCTTCAACATCCTCGAAACATTTATAAAATATAATTCTGTTACAATGAACTGAAAGAGATGTTTGAGTCAGTTTGTGTTTCTGTGTTTCTTCTCAGGTTTACCCACATCTACAGTGACTGTGACACCAGCCGGTCCTGTATTCACTGGAGAAACAGTCAAACTGAAGTGTGGGATAAACTCTGATCACAGTAACTGGAGATATGAGTGGTATAAAGACAGTGTAATATTACAGAAGTCTGATCGTTACACTGTAAACAGAGACACTATCACTATCAGAGGAGCTACTGAGTCTGATCAGGGTCAGTACTGGTGTAAAGGACAGAGAGATGGAAGACCAAACTCATCAACATCAAGATCTGCTGTTTCTCTCTCTGTGAAGGGTGAGTTCAACATCATTGTCCTCATAAACTCTCTCTGATACAGTATATATAATCGAGACACTGTTCAGACTGAACTACTGTCTTATTAAATTCAGTAAACAGGGCCTATAATTAACACTCATCATAAGCCAAATGTGAGTAAAAATCAGCGAGTGTGTGAACGGTGTCAGTCGGCCAGTTTCTACACAAAGTGAACAACAGTGAATGACACTCTGTACAGTTGACGTGTCAGCGCTTCATCATCACGAAAGTTTCAGCCTTTCCAATGTAAATATTCAAGAGCTGGAAGTGAAACAGCGAAAGGGAGTTCGTAACTTGTGTGTGTGGTCCGTCCGTGTATCTTTTGGTCATTTGATTTCCTGTTTGGAATGGAATAACGAGAAATGAAAACCAGCTTGTTTATTCGTTTCTTTGTTGAGTTTAAAAAAAAGAAAAAATTGATTTTGGCTTGATTTTTCATTTTTCGTTTGTGGTTTACAAATCGGTTTATGGGTTCGATATTTCATTTACGCTGAAACGCCCCTTTCATCTGATTGGTCAATCTGCTCCGCCTTCAGTACGAGCTTTTCTTTCTGTCAGGCAGAATAAGAGTCACGAGTGCGGCATTGACAAATGCACTTTAATAAAATAATGTCTGAAACCACCACTCACTGTTAACTACGCACAATATTTGAAGCAGAAATATGTTGCTGGTCATGTAACTCCATTAATGTGAGCCACATACGCCTACATATGACAGATTATTTTAGCATGATGTATTTCGCATTGATAAATACTGTGCAAATAGTTCAGTGTTTTTGGATAAAAGGGAAGTGGAAATAAAAATCAATACTAAACGTAACAGTACCATTATAAAATATGTCCGTATCATGAGATGTCTGTAGACGACCTTCGGTTACATTAGAAATAGGGGATAACACTGTATAAAAATACTGTATTTAAATCATTATGTCTAAAGTTCCCGCATAAAACATGAAAACCCAACAACCCAGTGGGAATATATCCTTGTTGTGTAAAACATCTGTTCATAATCTGTGATTACACAATTCCAATATGAATAGCACCGGGAGATCATCAACAATCATCAGTCCAGCTAATCTCACAGTGGGATCATATTCAGAATGTCCTTCTCGTAAAACACACAAATGGGCTTCCTTTGTTACATTCATTTGTGCATAAATGTTTTCATTCAAGTTTTTCGTACAGACAGACAGATTAATAACTAAACTGTGTATCTGATTTGTCATTTTATTCTGCTTTTCTTCCCGCATGCACACTGTTACTTTTGACTATGTTTGTCCTTATTCTCATTTTTTTATCAAATTGTACCTTCTGATAGTCATTCTGTGTGTGTAAAGCGATTTAATAATGTCCAAGATTCCTGGTTTTATTTTCAAATTATTTTGGGTTAATCTTAATCCAGAAATGTAGGAATATTACTCGAATAATTAGATTAAAAAAACATTTAGCCCAATCGGCTGCTAAACTGGGTTGTTTCTAACCCAGCAGTTTTTACCACAGTATATTATTGAACTGTATTATGCTACATTGGCTCATGACCTCATCACATTGCATGTTTAAGTCAGTAATATTTTTACACTCTTAAATTATGTAAGATTTATAAATATTGCACAAGCTGTAATTCTGTGACATGTACATAGAAAATAAAAGTATAAGTAATACGTATTATAGGCTCAGTTTACATGTGTGGCATTCTATACCCAGTATTTTAGTTTATACAAAGTTTATCTGTATATAGTCTATCAATAAATAAAAAAATGTATGTAATCAATACAAACTTCCAACAAACTAGATATTTCATTTTTAATACAGTGTTTTTCTCATAAGGAGGTTTTGAGTTCATAAACTCTAACATTGATCATGATACTGTGATTCAGTTTTAATCAATATTTACTCATATGTGTATTAATACAGGAAAACCTGTAGTGAAGGTGAAGCCAGATCAGCCTGTGTTCAGAGGAGAGAGAGTCACTCTCACATGTGTCATACAGGGAGGAGGAAACATTCAGTGGAGATACAGCTGGATTAAAACTTATGGAAACACTGACTATCCATATACAACAACAACAGCAGCAGATTACAGTTTCACAGCTGATGTGTCTCGCAGTGGTAAATACAGTTGTAGAGGAGAGAGATCAGACTCACACACAGACTTCAGTGATGCTGTTACACTGACCGTATCAGGTGAGTCTTCATATTCACATCTGTTTAATCATCATTTAATATCCATATTTCAACACTTATGATCTTCTGTATCAGCCACGTCTGTTCTTATAAGAAATTCACTTTTAGTCATGATTGTCTTCAGATGAAGTGTATGTCATGTTTGTCGTGTGTGTGTGTGTGTGTGTGTTGCACATTTTTATCAGGATACTTTTATAAAATCATGTCAATTGTGACTTTCCAGTGTTAAAGACGTCTCCATCTTTGAGATTTACTTTAGTCACTGTTAGTTTGGTGACAGGAGATATTTAATAATAGAAAAGATGAGATTTGTCCGAGAGAATGACGTGACTTACAGACACTGATGTGAAATGAGTTGATGAAGTCTTCAGATATTCTGATGAAGTTGATTCAGTCTCAGTATCTCCTCATATGAGCTTTAGTTGGAGATCTTCATCTCTCCTTCAGGAGCTTCATTCTGCTTTCTGTGGCGAGTCAGAGCCTCAAAACAACTGAAATGATAAAACTAATGACAGAACAGCAACAAAACACAACTAATACTATGAAATATGAGACAAAATCATCATGACTCATCATGTTAGTCTGCCTGAATCAGCTTCAACATCAATATTAGAATATATTAGAATATGTTTCTTCTCTAAAAGATCTTAATTATCATCGAGACGATTCCTCCTAGTAAGTAAGTAAGTAAAATTTATTTATACAGCGCCTTTCAACGACTTAGTCACAAGGCGCTTTACAATATACAAAAAATTATTTGATAGAAAATAGAATAAAACAGATAAAAACATCAACATGTAAAATACAGAGATTACCCAAAAGCTAACCTGAACACGTGAGTCTTCACTTGTCCCCTAAAACTGTCCACATTCTCAGCCAACCTAATACTGGTAGGCAAGGCATTCCATAATCTTGGTACCATAGCGGCGAAAGCCCTGTCCCCACATGTCTTTAAACGAGTGCGTGGCGTAGTAGATAGCAACTTTTGATTATTAGACCTGAGAGACCGGAGAGGAGTGTGAAAATGAATTAGCTCAGCAAGATAAGCAGGAGCCTGACCATGTAAAGCCCTATAGGTTATAGTTAATATTTTGAACTGGATCCTGTAGGTAACTGGAAGCCAGTGAAGGGAGCGGAGTATTGGGGTGATATGGGTGCGTCTATTTGAACGAGTAAGTAATCTAGCAGCTGAATTTTGAATGGATTGCAGTCGATGAAGGGCAGATTTATTAAGCGAAAAGAAAAGTGAGTTACGGTAATCTATACGGGAGGAAATGAAGGCATGGATGAGCATCTCCATTTCTGATTGGGATACCACAGACTTCAATTTACTTAAAATACGCAGGTGGAAAAAACAGGATTTAGTAAGGGATTTGATATGGGTTTCAAAGGATAAAGATTTATCAAATGTCACCCCAAGGTTCCTTAGACTAGTCCGGACCGCAGATGCCAATGGTCCAATGTTCTGCATAATCAGAGGGATAGCACTGTCTGGTGCTACAATTAAAACCTCTGTTTTATCTGGATTAAGTTGCAGGTAACTTTCAGCCATCCAGCTGTTTATGGCGTCTATACACTCCTGATCTCATTAATACTGTATGTAAATATCAGCGGAGTGAAACTTGATCACTTCCTGTGTGAAACGGCAGCGAGACGTCAAGAATAATCCTGTGTTCAGAAGATACATGAAGGACACATGGAGTCCCGTCTCAAACAATATCAAAGATGTGGGAACGGAAGGCTTTCAGTTTCATTGTTTTCCTCAATTTACTTTTAAGACTAAACTTCATTTCCATGTAGAGCTGGAGGAAGAATGTAATACAGTATATAATGTTTGAGCAGAGATTATTCTGGGTTTATTCTGACTCTGATGAACGCAGGAGCTTTAATGCACTTTGTCACTGTTGCTGCAATAACACTTCATCATTGAGATCTTCAACATCCTCGAAACATTTATAAAATATAATTCTGTTACAATGCACTGAAAGAGATGTTTGAGTCAGTTTGTGTTTCTGTGTTTCTTCTCAGATTTACCCACATCTACAGTGACTGTGACACCAGCCGGTCCTGTATTCACTGGAGAAACAGTCAATCTGAAGTGTGTGATAAACTCTGATCACAGTAACTGGAGATATGAGTGGTATAAAGACAGTGTAATATTACAGACGTCTGATCGTTACACTGTAAACACAGACACTGTCACTATCAGAGGAGCTACTGGGTCTGATCAGGGTCAGTACGAGTGTAAAGGACAGATATATGGAAGACCAAACTCATCAACATCAAGATCTGCTGTTTCTCTCTCTGTGAAGGGTGAGTTACACATCATAAACTCTCTCTGATACAGTATATATAATCGAGACAGTGTTCAGACTGATCTACTGTCTTATTAAATTCAGTGAACAGGGCCTATAATTAACACTCATCATAAGCCAAATGTGAGTAAAAATCAGCGAGTGTGTGAACGGTGTCAGTCGGCCAGTTTCTACACAAAGTGAGCAACAGTGAATGACACTCTGTACAGTTGACGTGTCAGCGCTTCATCATCACGAAAGTTTCAGCCTTTCCAATGTAAATATTCAAGAGCTGGAAGTGAAACAGCGAAAGGGAGTTCGTAACTTGTGTGTGTGGTCCGTCCGTGTATCTTTTGGTCATTTGATTTCCTGTTTGGAATGGAATAACGAGAAATGAAAACCAGCTTGTTTATTCGTTTCTTTGTTGAGTTTAAAAAAAAGAAAAAATTGATTTTGGCTTGATTTTTCATTTTTCGTTTGTGGTTTACAAATCGGTTTATGGGTTCGATATTTCATTTACGCTGAAACGCCCCTTTCATCTGATTGGTCAAACCGCTCCGCCTTCAGTACGAGCTTTTCTTTCTGTCAGGCAGAATAAGAGTCACGAGTGCGGCATTGACAAATGCACTTTAATAAAATAATGTCTGAAACCACCACTCACTGTTAACTACGCACAATATTTGAAGCAGAAATATGTTGCTGGTCACGTAACTCCATTAATGTGAGCCACATACGCCTACATATGACAGATTATTTTAGCATGATGTATTTCACATTGATAAATACTGTGCAAATAGTTCAGTGTTTTTGGATAAAAGGGAAATGGAAATAAAAATCAATACTAAACGTAACAGTACCATTATAAAATATGTCCGTAACATGAGATGTCTGTAGACGACCTTCGGTTACATTAGAAATAGGGGATAACACTGTATAAAAATACTGTATTTAAATCATTATGTCTAAAGTTCCCGCATAAAACATGAAAACCCAACAACCCAATGGGAATATATCCGTGTAGTGTAAAACATCTGTTCATAATCTGTGATTACACAATTCCAATATGAATAGCACCGGGAGATCATCAACAATCATCAGTCCAGCTAATCTCACAGTGGGATCATATTCAGAATGTCCTTCTCGTAAAACACACAAATGGGCTTCCTTTGTTACATACATTTGTGCATAAATGGTAAATGGTAAATGGACTGCATTTATATAGCGCTTTCATAGAAAAAAATGGCCACCAAAGCGCTTTACATATTGCCTCACATTCACCCATTCACACACAGACGGCGGTGTCAGCCATACAAGGCGCCATCCAGCTCGTCGGGAGCAGCTGGGGTTAGGTGTCTTGCTCATGGACACCTCGACACTTGGTCAGGTGGAACCGAGGCTTGAACCACCAACCTTTCGGTTTGTAGACAACCCACATGAACCACTGAGCCACTGCCGCCCCATAAACTCCCTATTATTCATGATCACACAACCAATCAAGAGAATTTTACTTTAGATTTTTCCTTCACACTGCTGATAAATAGTTGTCACTCTTCTTTTGAAGGGCTTGATTTTATTTTCTCACTGTTCTTTTACAAACTATTTAAATGAGCAAAACATGCAACTAATGCAGATGTCCGAAAATCCATTTTAAAACTGAAGTATTTTTAGAAGTGTAATCTTAAAAATTCAACACTCGTGAATTTCTTATAAAACAGAAACAACAGATAAAGTCGTCTTTCTGACGCATGTGAGCACAGATCTGAGAGACAAATAAAAATAGTTCTGTTAATGGCTGCTAATTACATGTCAATTACATCTATTCAGAAACAACGTTTTTTAATAAACATAAAACATTTGTGTACGTATTTTTTATTTTTTTAGCTGCTTGTTCTTTCTGAGAATTTCTGAGTTTTTATACAAATGCAGCTTTGGTTTCCAGAAGTTTCATCGTTTTGTATCTGATTATGATTTACAGTTCATGAAACATTAAAGTTTCAACATTAGCTCATCTGAGAATAAAAACTGTCATCATTTAATCTCACACACCCTCTCTTTAGAACAAAACTGAACCATTTTATTTATGTAGTTGGAGGCAAAAACTGAATGATTTGTGTAACACATGTGAACTCTGACTCTGGAGGATCTGAATCTGTTGTTGTTCTCCTGCAGATCTACAGCCGAAGCCTGAACTCACATCAGATCCTGCAGGAGCTGCACTGACTGGAAACACAGTGACTTTGACCTGTCGCATGAATCTAACCAGAGACTGGGACATTTACTGGTACAAACACACACTGAACCCCGAGACAGAGAAGAAGAAAACACACTCCTACAGCCTGAAGATTGATTCAGTGTCTGATGGAGGCCAGTACTGGTGTAGAGCTGGAAGAGGGAAACCAGTCTATTACACACAATACAGTGATGCACTGTGGGTAAATGTTACAGGTGAGAGAGACTGTAGTGTGTGATGCAACAAATACAGATCAGAGACAATATCTACACAACTTCTGAAACTATAAATGCAATAATCTGTGTTTGTACAGTGAGTCCTAAAGCTGTGGTGACGGTACGACCTGATGAACGAGTGTTTAGAGGAGAAACAGTCACTCTCAGATGTGATATAAAGTGGGCAGGAGACACTGAGTGGACATACAGATGGGAAATAGAGGGAACCAACAACTGGGATAGAAACTCTGCCAGTCGATGTACAGAACAACACTGCTGCACTGGAGCTGATAAACAGACACACAGAAATGCTGTCAGTCGGTGCTCAACACAAGAGTTGATCATCAGCAGTGTCGATCTCTTTCACAGCGGTGAATACAGTTGTAGAGGAGAGAGATCAGTCTCACGATCACGCATCAGTGATGCTGTTACACTGACTGTCTCAGGTGAGTGTGTGAGTGTGTGTGTGTGTGTGTGTGTGTGTGTGTGATCAGCTTCTCCATCAGTTCCTCTACGGCTCTGTAACTCGTGATGTTTTGTTCAGCTGAAGCTCAGGCATCACTGCGAGTGTCTCCACAGCCGTGGCTGACTGAAGGAGAATCAGTGACTCTGATCTGTGAGGTTTCAGGCTCCTCTACAGGCTGGACGTTCAGCTGGTTCAGAGATCATGATCATCTGTCAGACAGCAGCAGAGGAGCTGGAGGATCTTACACTCTCAGTCCTGCTGCTCTACAGCACACAGGAGTTTATACGTGCAGAGCAGAGAGAGGACGACCAGCCTATTACACACACAACAGCAGCTCACACACACTGTGGCTCACTGGTGAGGGTTTCTGCTTGTGCTCATCCGCATCTGTGTTTCACTGCAGTCTCTGTGCTGTCAGTTCTGATGGAGATTTTCCTCTTTTCAGGAGTTTCTGCTTCAGTGTCTCTGGTCATCGATCCCAGCAGAAGTCAACACTTCTCATCTCAGTCTCTCTCTCTGAGCTGTGTGGATCAGAGTAACTCTGCTGGATGGACAGTGAGAAGATACACAGACACACACACACAAACCTGTGCCAAACAAACAGGATCTCGATGTGTAATCGACTCTCTCAGCACATCTGACTCTGGAGTGTACTGGTGTGAGTCTGAATCTGGAGAGAAACGCCGTCCTCGAAACATCACTGTACACGGTGAGTCCAACCACTCACAACTATATAACAACGAACAACTAATCTGTTTAAGACTAAAAATATTATAATAATATCAAGATTTTAACTCTATAATAAAATAAAATACACTACATTATAATTAAGTGTATGATTTTATATATATATATATATATATATATATATATATATATATATATATATATATATATATTGTTACTGTACTTTGATTCTCAATTGTTTTAATTATTTACTGTATTTTATTTTTATTATTATGATTTTTTTTTATTCTAAACTGTTTTAATTATTCTTGCCTTGCCTATATATATATATATATATATATATATATATATATATATATATATATAGTAACACTTATATGTTACGATAACCCTTGTGAACATGTGAATATAATGTCATTTATTCCTGTGATCAAAGCTGTATTTCCTCATCATTACTCCAGTCTTCAGAGTCACATGATCCTTCAGAAATCAGTATAATGTGATGATTTGATGCTTAAGAAACATTTCTGATTATTACCAATGTTGAAAATATTTCAATATTTTTTGTGGAATTTTTTTTTTCTTTGATGAATAGAAAGTTTGAAGTACATAATTTATTTGAAATTTAAATATTTTGTAACATTATAAATGTCTTTTTTGATCAATGCGTCACATTTGATAGTGAATCCCTGCTGAATAAAAGTGTCAGTTTCCCAGATTATTGATAGTGAACATTTTGGCCCTCCACATCAATAATTGAAATATGGGTCTGATTAATACATTATCATCACTACATCATCAGTACATCAGTATCATCAGTACAGTATCATCACTACATCATCAGTACATCAGTATCATCAGTACAGTATCATCACTACATCATCAGTACATCAGTATCATCAGTACAGTATCATCACTACATCATCAGTACATCAGTATCATCAGTACAGTATCATCACTAGCAGCTGTTGATGTATGATGAGCATCACTACTGTCTCAAAGTCACATGAGGGTTTCTACTCCTGTAAAACAGAGAGAGGACAGTCTCTCCACAGCTGGATCTCAGTCACTGAAGACTTTAATGGTGAGATGATTTAATTAAAAACGCCACACCATTATTATATACTATTATATAGTCTCTAGCTCTTATTTCTGTCAATAAGTGTATTCTTCTTCTGTGTAAAATTATTATAAATACCAGTTTATGCAGTTTGAGTATGGCCTCTAAGATCGCAGTCGGACACTATCGGCCCGGCTGGCCGTTTCTAGCCCTCGCTCGCACTGGCTCCACAGTGGAAATGCGGATAATGATTTCTGACTGGCATAAAACTGTACAAATCAAACAAAATAAACGGGTAAAGGTAGAGACCAGTTAAAGGAGCTGTATGTAAGAAATTTATTTCAAATAATCATAAAATGGCCCTGATATGTCACTAGACATTAAGAAATAATGTTCATTTCAAATATTTATATCACTGACAACTGTAGTCCAGTCAGGATATTGTCATTTAAAAAATGAAGTTTTAGCCTTCAACTGATGTTGATGATGTCATGTTGTGTTTTGATCTGATGCTCCTCCCTCCACCGATCTACCAATCACGGAGTCAGTAGTGTTGCAGCATTCGCGCACAAAACTTTGTTGGTCAATAATGTTCTTGTGTTTCTGTTTTCCAGGTCAGATTTCTGTCTACAAAATCCTCAGTTTTCTTCTGGCAGCTTCTCCGTATCTGTTAGCGACAGTCGTGCTGCTTTTCAAATGTTACAGAGCGAGAGGTAAAACTTCTCACACACACACACAAGCTCTCTCTCTCTCTCTCTCTCTCTCTCTCTCTCTCTCACACACACACACACACACACAATTTATTCACATATTCTCTCACTGACAGAAATGCCTTTACTGCCTATATTATTTAGATCTATATTTTGAACGGATGATGGTCATTCATGAAAGCAATAACTGCAGTGGAAAAAAATTATATTTTTTTTTTTAAATAAGACGTCCGTTTAAATGTTAAAAAATTTTTTTTTGTGTATTTCACAGTTTCATCTGCTGAAGACCAAAGTCAGTACGCCGTAACAGAGGAATACAATTTTTGACAGAACAAAGTGATTCTTGCGATTGTAATTTAATGTGGAATGTACATTTGTGATACAAACAAAGGCTATTGGGGTATTTTTGCAGAGAATAAACGAGCCCGACGAAAGACTTTTTATGTTTTCGTAAACGAGACCCTTATCATCTCCCTGTAAATACAAAAATGCTCATTTGAAAATGGTGACGTCATGCACATGCGTATGACGTGTTCATTCTTTTGGCTTTTTTAAATGAAAGGTTCATTTCAATAGATTCAAGGATGATATATGTTTTCGAAGCCCTTGTGTTCAAAGGTTTTGACATTTTCTTAAAGGAAGTAAAAGTGACTTTATATCAGAGGAGATCATTCTAATATTGGGATTACAGTGAACGTTTCTGGCTTTATAAAGAGGAAATTTACCCAGAAGACAAAGTAATAATACAGTATTATCAAGATGAACATCCTTAGAATGGAAATCGGACAAAAAAAAAACATGATAGATTCTGTAATTTGTATCTTTAGGCCTGTGTGCTCAGCTCGAGTGAACTACAGTAAAATAATGCGTGTGTGTGCAGTGCCGTAGTCTTCATTTACAAAGCCAAATCGCCAGTGTATGTACTGTATGCTTACGTATCGCCGCTTTTCCAGGAAAAACAGCACTCTTGCTCTTAACTCTTATTTCTTATCTTTATCATTATAAATGTACAAATCAGGAACTCATTAGTGAGGCATTCACCCAATGTAGGCTATTGATTTCATTATAAAAATTATATTGTGTTTATAAACCTTTGAAAACTATATATTTCATAACCATAAACTGTAA